CCCTTCTCCAGAGCCTGAGCTCCAAGTAAATACTAAATGTCAAGGATCACGATATAAAGGGGCAGAGAGGCATAAGATGGGGACACTGAACTCAGTCCTCCACTCTACACTCGGTTTTTCCAGTCCAAAGTACCCAGGAGGGTGTCATGATAACTCCTCCCCAAAGTTTGGTTGTCCTGGATGTCCTACCTCAACTCCCCATCACCTCAGCATCAAGGATCTTCCTGTGCTGTGCAGAGGACAACTCCCAGGACTGCTGTTCTCCTTGCTGATCCCTTCACCTCCCTCTCTTCCTCGACGAGTTTCCACTCAGGCTTCATGCAAAAAGTGTCTGATGGTACTAGTGGAGCACTGGATGCAACTACCTGGTGTGGAAGTGTTAAGAGATCTCCTTGGGGGCCAAACTGGCTGAATTTGGGCAGTCAGACTTAGAGCATGACCCTTTGGTATCTGGGCAAGGTCAAGGGTCTGTGTGCAGCCACGCAGCCGAGTCCCCACGAGTGGAGCCTGCCTGGGCTGTGCACTTGGATCCTGTATTTTTAACCTGACCTCCTCTTGACCTTAATGTCTGCAGCTACAACTGGAGCCTTAGAGCCAAAAGCCTCCCAGAAAGCAGTGCTGTGTTTCCAGTAAGCCATTCCAAAGTGTTTCCAAACAGCTATTACAACCTGCACTGTCAGTTCCGAGCCAGCAAGCATCCCTGCCCTGGTGTCAGGCCAAGAAGACACAGAGCAGGAGGGGCAGGACATGAATGCAGAGCCTCAGAGAAGCCAGAGGACCTGCTTAGTAGCATGGAATCATTAAGGTTGGAAAGCCCTCTAAGATCATTGAGTCCAACCACTAACCCAGCACCACCACCGTGTTCCCTTCTAAACCATGTCCCTGAGCACCACAACTACCCTTTTTTTGAACATTTACAGGGATGGTGACTCCACCACTGCCCTGGGCAGCCTGTTCCAATGTCGGGAACAGCTTTTTTGTAATATCCAATCTAACAGTCCCCATTTGCTCTTGTCCTGCTTGTTAGGTGGGAGAAGAGACCAACCCCCATCTGGCTCCCCCCTCCTGTCAGGGAGTTTTAAAGAGTGAGAAGGACCCCCCTGAGTCTCCTTTTCTCCAGACAGAGCCCCCACAGCTCCCTCAGCTGCTCCTGGTGCTCCAGACCCTTCCCCAGGTCTCGGTGAGTGCTTGGTCCCTTCTGTCCCTTTGGGGTTTGCCTTGCAGGGAACGTGTCCATCCAACCCTTTCCCTTGTGCATTTCACTGCGGACCCACATTGAGATCTCCCTGTCCTTCCCAAGAATGCACTTGGCCCTCACTCCTATAAAGCCCTTTAGAAAGGTGCCCCAGAGGTGGCTTTTTAATGAACAAGATGCAGAAGCAGAGTTAATCTGTGGAGCAGATAATGGATTTTCCTTCACTCACATCACCTTCCACCCCAGCCATAGCCAAGCTAGACACAGAGCACAGTTAGACTTCAAAATAAGCCTGAAATTGGCTTAAGCCACTTGCAATCTTGTTTAAATATTACATTTGTTAATTTGGTTTATAGGCCTTCTGCTTTTGGGGTGCTTAAACTGCTTTCAAAACAGTCTGTCAACCTTTTTCCTCTGTAACTGAGAGGATTAGAAAAGGATTTTTATTTGAAATGAAGCCCAAGAGCGTAGGTATTCACAAGACTGGCATCTCAGGTTATTGGGGAAACAAATCCTGGCTGAAATCATGTGCATTGGCAGCACCTCAGCACACTCAACACCCATGTGTGCTCAGGCTCAGGGGTTTGTGTGAGGTCCCAGATGTACAGGATTGCCAAAGAGGGGAAACAATTCGACTGTCTTTAACCCATCAGGCTCCAGAAATCAGGAGACTGGCTTAATAATCATGATTTTGTAATAGATGCTTTTTATCTGTCTGCAGCAGCCAATTAACAAAAGTACTAATTTTAGAGAGACTCGCACTACTACCAACCAGGAAGGCAGCCACAGATTCATTCTTGGGTTTTAACACTTTTCAGACCCTCTAGAAAATTTTGGTTTCGGATGAAAACCTTCCAGTTTCGTCATAGCTGCTGTCATTGATGTTTCTCCTCAATGTTAATGCAAAATAGCTCTGGACAAAACTAATTTTATCCCATTCTGCTCATTTTTTTCTCATTTTCCCCACACTAAGGAGGGGGTTGCAGTTGTCCAACCCAGTTCCACACCCACCCAGCCACTCTTAGCAGACAGGACCCCTCAGATGTCACCCAAGGACATCTCAGTGTGGTCCAGGGCACATCTTGCTCTTCCATTCTCCGAAATCACACCGTCACTACCACGGCATTTGAGGAATGACTGTAAAACTGCAGCTGAACACCCAGCCCAGCTCAAAAGTGCCCAGGGGACAGGATGTAACTGAGACCTGGCTCTGCCTCCCCTGCTCCTGCACTGTCACAGGTGGGTCTCACAGCAAGCCCGGGTGTTAAAGCAGTGTTTCCTATTATAAAACACTGTTTTCAGTTACTTACATTTCACCAGACTTTAACTGCTGGGCAATTTTCCACCTCAGCCAGCCCCAGAGCTGCCTGCCTTTATAGCCACTGGAGGGAAAGAGGGGCTTCTAGGGAAAAAAAAATCACATCATCCTGAGGCAAGCAGTTTCTTGGCATTTAGTGACAGAAGGTGCCTACACCACTGTCTCTCCCATAGATACCTGGTCTCTGCAGGTGATTCAATTCATCCCACCCCCAGTTTGGGCTGTGTTGTCTGAAGGGAAACCTAAGCCAGAAAGGTTGTGCCAAGGAGAAGCAGTGCTTTGTCTTTGCTTAAAGAATTTGTCTGTGTGTATGTAAATGCCTGTATCTCAATGTTGCCACAACTTTTGCCAAGTTATGAGCATCATAATGACTTGTGCTCACACGTAACTAGAGGAGACCCAAGGACCCAGTCTTTCCAAGAATCTCACCCATTCTTCTTCTACAGTTCATGGAGGTGGGATCATAGCTAGTGAAGGGAATTTTAGAGCATCTTCAACCACAAGTACTACACACCCAAGGGTAATAGACATGATATTCGAGAAGATCTTGTCCCAGGTTTATAAAAATGCTCCACATAGTCCAACTGTGAAATTTCCAGGAGACAGGATTTGCCCTCCATGGGCACCAAGGACCAGTACAGCACCAGCAAGACGCACAGTTTCCTCACAAGTGGCATGGCACAGCAGGAAAGGGAACCCCTGACTGAAACCAACTGGAGGGCATAGCCTCTGACACCCGAGGGAGGTGTTTGTGAGCATGGTCATGCTGGAATAGAGGAGCTCAGCATATTGCTAGATGGAGCCTAAAGCCACCCCAAGCTCTCCAGCTATCCTAACATCTCTTATCTTTCTCCAGATTTGGATGCCAGGGCTGGCACTGAGATCTACCAGGTGGAGAAGGGAAATAATGGCCAGGACCAGAAAAAATTACTTGGGAAAATGCCTGAAGCCACGACAAGTACCTCTCTTCTTCCACCCATCAAGTGCAGAAAAGGGAACAGCAGCAGAGGGGGGACTGGAGACCCAGCACAGCAGCACCGAGTGGAAGGGAAACACCAGGAGAAAAAGTCACCTCCCTGCAGGAGACAGTGAAGAAATGGGACCAACTAATTCAAGCCCTAGTTTTCACCAAAAACATCACTGTTTCAGCCAGGTTGGGTTGCTCAGGTACAAACCTCACCATGAGCTAAAACCAAACGCAGGTCTCTGAAATCAGCATTCCCCTGCTCCTGGGTGAGGTGCTGGCGGTGGTAATCAGCGGTGGTCTGGTGATGGAAAGGGCTGGCGAGGCTTCTGGAGGTGGGTTTTGAGGTTGGGAAGGTACCTGATGAACTCTGTACTTCGGACCAGCGCGGCTAGATGGCACTGTGTACTCTTCCAGGAGTGGCACATCCCACCATAGCTCCCGTGCCCAGGAATTTAATATCCCGAGTGTTTTCGCTCGCTGTTGAAGCTCTCCTCTGAGAGGCAGCTTATCTGAAGGATGGCGTGGGCTGTTGGGAGTTCTGTCATGGCCAGGACACAGGTGACCTTCTCAGGGAGGAAAGCTCTGGCAGAATTTTCTGCTTCAGGGTTATTTTCGAAAAGGCGAGTGTGTGTTTGAAGCAAGAAAAAAATGCCATTTCCTGACAACTGCAAACAGCAGAGACAAGGACTTGAAGAGTCAGGCCTAGAGTGGACTCACACCATCACACCTGTGGAGAGCCTCATGTTCACGTGCTGTTTATCCACACCCCAGGAGGAAGATGAATGAGGGACTCCCAAGGGTCCCTCCCTACAAAACAGAGCACTGGGACACGGTGTCCCCATGCTGTTATGGCAGTACTGGTGTGGAAGACAGGGACCCAGATCTGGGGCTGCAAAACTTTGAGAGACCCATCTCAGCTCCCTCTGTCCAGTAGCAAAGCTGGACACACACCAGCTGTGCCCGGTGGAGAGCCAACAAGGAGCCCACCGAGATCTTCTGCAGCCCTGGAAGACATTTGGTCACCCAGGCAATGGGAAGATCTTAGAAAAAGAGGGGGAAGGGCATTAGATATGAATGAAGAAGTGGGTGAGCAGGGTCAGGCAGCACAGAAAAGGACCACAAAGCCCCGACATTGCTTTTTAGCGTCTTGAAATTTATTTGGGGGTCAGTACGAGATGACAACCCAGAAGCAACCTTTCCAAAAGGCAAAGCAGTCTGGCCCCTCGCTCCCCTTTTCCCCCCAGCTGGTGGACTCAAGCTGGGAGGCTGGAAGACACCAGCAGGCCGTGGTGGCCCAGCTGTGAGCCCGCCATCCCTCGCTCAGCGTCTGCACAGGAGTCAGGAGGGTTTAATGTCTCAGGAGCCAGGCTCCCATGTTCTCCTCTTGCTACCAGCTGGTCAGGCGGGCTGCCAAGGGTATGCTGGCAGGAAACTGGGCAGTTTTCCATCAGGATTTCATCCGCGGTGACGGATCTCCGGGGAATATTTCCGTCCTGATGAATCAGCAGTCTCTGGTGGGAGATGGGCTGCCCGCCGGAGGGGTTAACGTCCAGCCCTCAGGAAAGGTGCGAGTCCCCACATCAGGCAGGTGTCAGCTAATCCAATCCCCCCCAAATCCATCCCCCGCTGGAGGCCTCTCCCTAATCTGTTACAGTCGGCGTTTGCCCCGGGGCCACGGATCTGATATCTCTTACGAGCAGGGTGTCAGCATTAACTATTATAATTCTGGATATTCTTGTTAGCCATGCAAACGTCCAGCCTGGGCTGGAATCTCGCTTCACTTTTCAGCTCCGGCAACATCCTGTGGCAAATTGCTCCGTGTGGAGACACTCCTGTTTATCATCCCCGGCCACCACCTGTTCATCCCGCCGCGTTCCGGGGTTATCCCACTGGCAGCACAGACCCTCTGCACAGCCCTCCCTTGCCCTGCTCCCTGCCCGACACCGCGAAATTTTGGCACTGCAAAAATCTGTCTTTTATAGGGGGCTCGGAAAAGTGTAGTGGGATGTTGATTCCCTTCCCAAATCACCCTGGTGAGACGCTCGACTGTTTGCATCTGCTTCTGCCAGAATCTGCTGGTGTCCATGGGAAGCACTTCCATGGAGAAAACCCATCCCATGTGAAGCAGGACTGCACGCTGAGCCCCTCGCAGTCAGCGCAGCACTGGGGTTAAAAGCCCCCCTCCAACAGGATGGCAAAAGGTAAATGTGCTGGGATGGGGTTAGAGGTGGTTTTCTGCTCCTACTCCTATTTCTCACGTGGGAAGCAGGTGTAGAGCTCAAATGGAGACCAAATGGCAATGGGACAGAAAAATGTTAACAAGACAAAAATCAGCAAGTGCTGCACTGAGTTCTGTAGTGTGATTAATAAAACAAACACATGAAAAGAAAAAAAAAACCTGTTTCAACACATGGCCAGAAATGCAGTGTGTCGTGCTATCAGGGCTATTCTGCCCTCTGAGTACCTGCCTCTCTGTTTGGGTTCACACTAAAATACTCTAATGTGCTTTCAGGTTTGGTGTTAGGTTTTTTCGGTTCTTTTTTTTTTTAATTTTTATTTTATTTTTACAAATGCTCAAACTTTCCTGCCACAAATTATTCTTGGCTGGCTTACAAGTAGAAGTGCCGTGTATAGCCATTTCTTTAAAAAAAAAAAAAAAGCAGAATAGAAAGAAAAGTGGTTTATGAGATATTTGGATTGAATGTTTTCTTTCTACCCGAACATGCGGTGAAAGTTCAGGAGTTCTCAATTTTTTCCACCCAAAAGCCCCTCTTGAGCTGAAGCTCAGTCTCCAGCATTTTTGATGTGATCTCACCTTTACAGACCATCCACTTGGAAAGAACATTGCTACTAACAAAGCCTGGGAGCAACTCCCTCTGTGGCCTCTTTCACCCCAAGAAAGCCATCTGGGACTGCTGTAAGGACAGGATGGCACTGGCAGCCCCAGCCATGGTAAGTCATAACTGAAGGCTCTGCAAAATCATGACTTTGGCATAAAAAACATGATTAAACTAGTCATAAACAAGTAAAACTTATTTGCCTGGTGGTCTCAGGTGCTCCCAGGCTGTGGGTTTGAACCAGGAAGGAGAGAAACTCCTTGGGCACAGGCTGTGAAAGCAAATTTTCATGCAAGTACACAATGCCACTAAGCTGAGAATTTAAGGAAAACAGTGAACATTATCGAGACTCATAAAGAGCTTTGCTGCAAGGATTGGCACCTCCAGCAACTCCTCACAAATATCCCCACATCATGGGAGTACCTGGGCAGTTTTGGGATAATTAACCCTCAAGCACATTAAGTCCAAGGAAAACTAATTACTTTCATGGAACACAAAAGATTGTTTTACAGGCGATGTTGTTCTTTGGCCTGTCTCTTCTGGAAAACGGCACCAGTTAAACAAAATCAGTTTTATTAACTGACAGTGCTGTGAGAAGATTTACAGAGAAGTTCTGTTTGATGGGCTTTTAATTACAGACCTGATGTCCATTACAGGGGCTGACAAGTTGCACATGCTGGACAAGAGAGATCATGTGAGCTGGGGACCTTTCACAGCCTGGTCAGAGAGGGTTTTTTCTACACTTCCTCCTCTGGTGAGCCCTAAATCAAGCATTTAGCAATAGCCATAGGACTCACTTTAAAGCACAAGCCTGATGTCTCACCCAGAGAGAAGTGGTTGCATCCTGTTAGACATCGTTGTGCTGTGCTGCCTTCAAGAAAGGCCAGTGGCAGACCCCAACCCACACTGCTCGTTTGCAGTCCAGCCTTCCCTTGGTGCTGCCCTGGCACCCGTCATCCCTCACCACACTGGAAGGGAACAAGCAATGGGTAGCCCACAGCAGCCCGTGGCCTTGGGGTGAGTTGCCCCAGGAGCCCTGCGGGGTCCTGCGGGGACAGATTTCCTCACCGCCCCGGAGATGGGGAGGTCTCGCCTTGCTCCGGATTGTTTGGGTAAGTTGTGATGGATCGTGCCCCGATGTCGAGAGTCGAGGTGCAGCGGGAGGCTGAGAAACTTAACGTTGAAAATGTTTTAAAGCAAAGGGAACATCAAAAGATCTCCAGGAAACGGCAAACACCCAGAGTTCAGCAATCTCTGAAACAGATCCCCCTCCTCCCATCTCCATGTCTGGATAAGAGAGACTCCCAAGACAAAGGGCGATCAAGATCAGAGAAGATGGTAAGCTATAAATCAACCACCTCTCTCTTTTCACCTCCCTCCCTGTGCCCTCCAGACTCAGGAAACCCCTGGAGCCGCAAGACACAAATTCAAACAGCAAGATGACTCCTCCCGTCTCCTCTTGGAGGGACTTGCCCCAGCGCAGCCCCCAAACCTTCCTCCAAACGCCGCCCAGCTCATGGAGATGCTGGGTGGGAAGCACGGACGCTCTCTCCAGCACTGCAGATTTTATCTGACATACCGGATTTAGACTCTTACAGAAGAGTCAAATCAGCCTTAAAATCCTCAGACTCATTGTCTACCACTGGAACAACATTTTTCTATAAATCTGAGAGGTTGAACACAAGGTTAGGAGTCTTGGAGCTCAGCCCTGAGCTCATGGGACCTGGGCACTAGGCACACATCTTGCAGGAGCATGAACCCTACAGTGCTTAGGGACATGGGACAGCTTCCTTTCCTCCTGATGGCCAGGCAGGCAGGGGTGAGCCAGCCCTGGGTTTTAACAGTGGGATGCATTTCTCAAGGGGCTGAATTTGGGGTAGGCGTTCCCGATGGTGGATGTGCCTCTCAGAGAGCTCCTTCCCCTCCACACTCAGAACCTCCTCCACCTCTGAGCATCCCAGTGCAATATGGGGTGCAGTGTGGGGATGGGTGAGTAGAGGACATGTCTGGAATAAGAGAGAAGAGGGGGGCAGGTTTTGCCCTTTCAGCAGGGCCCGTGGTGAAGCAGCAGCGCAGGGAGTGCAGCGTGTCTCCGGTGTAAGGGGATACGGTCCCCGGTGGGTGCTGGCTCTGGTTCAGGGGGATGTTTTATGAGCATGCATTAGTGCAGTTGCCAGGTTACTGGGCAGACAAACTATGTTCAGGCTTTCTGGGTGTGATCTCCTGCCCATGAAGCTGGGTCAGGAGCAGAGGTGGCAGCAGCTCCAGTCTGTGTGTCAACATTCAAGGGGCTTTATTGTGACCACAAGACACAGAGCAGAGCCTAAAGGCAAACAGAGGAAGAAAAGGGAAGAAGGGATTCTGGGGACACACACTGAGTAGCACTTCCTGTTAGTCCCACATCTGGGGTATCCCTGACCTGAGCAGACTGACCCTCCCCAGCTTCATCATCTCTCTAGAGTCTCCCATGGCAAAGACAAGCTGCCACAGGGAGGGAAGGGATGCATCCCATTTTTGGCATTGGCTGCACACATCAGCTTTCACATTTACCTTCTTCTCCTCCTGCTTCTCCTCCTCCAGGGGAAAGCAGGAGCTTTGCTGTGCTCCATCTCCCCACTAAGGTGAATCCTGACTTAGACCTGCTTGACTTTATGGCTCAGAGAGCCCTACTGAGATCTGCACTTTGTGACCATCCTTACTCAACTAAATGTGCTGGTCCAGGCTCCCAGGTCCCATTGGGTAGATCTACCTCCTAAATCCCATTAACTTCCTCCTCTTTTCATCACCTGCAGTTAATTGCAGGAGAAGCAATAGCCAGACTGTTGGGGTGTGTGAGTGCAAACATTTCTAGGGAATAGGTGCAGATGATACCTAGCAAACAGTCCCTGGAGCTTGCCTGGAACATACACTTATGGGGGAATTCCTGAAGTAGCATGAACCCCTGTGCTCCCAGCAGGGCACATTTGGGGTGGATAGACCAGGGAGCACAGAGGGAGATGGAGGAGAGGGAGGCACTGGGACAAAGGTGTGGGATGAGTTGGTTTCAGTAGGGCCACAGTGAGAGCAATGGTCTGCTGAGCTGGAGTAGGAACAAGCAGCATCAGGATTTGGGGCAGGGAGGGCAGAAGGAGGAATTAAGCCCTGCAAGGAGGTTCAACCAGAAGGGCAAAACTCATGCTGGGGTGGTATAGCAGTGAGAGATTTGGGGTAGGCAGCAAAAAGCTGTGGGCAGAGGACGTTACACGTGACAGAGATTTGGAGGGGGGATACACAGGGCACAAAGTTGTCCAGGGTCAAAGGCAGTCACAGGGTCCCTAAAGCACAAGGGAAAGCAGAATAATTTTGGAAGCAGGTGTTCCCCATGGGGGCAGGAGAGGGAGTGCTGGGGGCTGTGCAGCAGAGCGGGGCACGAGGGTGACTGGGCAGGGAACACGAGCTCCCAGCCAGGCAGGTGGGGCTGGAGGACCCCTCGCATGCCCGGCTCCTTGGTGGAGGGGGGGCTGACTCGGAGGTGTTTCCCGGGCACCAAGCCACCAGGGCCTCCCCTGGGGGCCGTAACTCCAGCCCAGCCTCCATCCCGCTGTCAGGCCCTGCGCCCAGAGCTTGTTATTGCAGGTGCAGGGCAGCCACCCCCCACCGCTGGCCTGTCCCTGTCCCCTCTCCCCTCCCCACACCAGCCACCCCTGCAAGCAGCAGTTTGGGGTGTCCCGGGGTTGCCCCATCCTGCCAGGGCCTCTGCTTCTTTTCCCTGGCATCTGTCTCCCTTCCCCAGCTGGTTTCTGTGCCCTCATCCAGGGCTTGTGCACACCATGCTGAGACCACCATGCAAAACTGCCAGCACAGACAGGTCACCCCACAGGGTCCACGGTCAAAAGCTTGGGTGGGTTTGGCCACCAAGGATCCCTGCCAGCATTCTGATGTCCTTCCATGGTGATCCATGGGGCAGGAGGAATTATCCTGACCCTTCCCACGGCATCCAGTCCCACCTGCCTTCCCCTCTGCTCTCCACCGTCCCCCCAGGGCCTGCAGCCCTGCCTTCTCTAGTGGCCATTCAGCACCCCCTCATCTGCCCCAGCTTCCCCAGGGCCCCTCTGCTGCACTTGAGTGTTGCCTGGTGCTCCCTACCCAGGTTCTGGACCCTTTGAGGTGCAGCCAAAGCTGCTCCAAACCTGGCTCCAGCCACCTACCACCTTGCAGCATCTCCTCGGGCCCACGGGAACCCCAGGGGGGCTGCCAAAATTCAAGGGCTGTCCTGTCCCTCTAAAACACCTCTGCCAGCGCTGTCAGACCTGCAGCCCCCTTGGGAGCAGAGCCACTGAGCCAAACACTCCCTTCTGTTAAAAACAGCTCTTTGAAACCTTTAATGACCCCAGCCTGCAGAGGTGGTGGCTTCAGAGAGCAGAGTGGGAGCTCAGCATCTCAGCCGAGCCCTGCATGGTGCTCCCCAGGCTCTCGGAGCTCTTGGCTGCTGAGTTTGCCTGTGAGGATAACCAGGGACCAGCTCCGTGCATCGGTGCCACATCTTATCACACGCCGAGTGCCTGCAAAGCCCTCTACCCTGTGTCCCGCTTTTCCCAGGGCTGGGGCTCAGTTCCTCCCCTTCACCTTTCTCCTTGGCCGTCTGCACAGCTCCTTGTCTCTCTGCTTTGCGGGGGACTGGGGAGTGCAGGCGTGGAGGCAATTACAGGCAAAGCCTGGTAAAGACCTGCATTCCCATGCCCTGACCTTGGCCTTGCCCAAACACCTTGAAGCATTCCAGCACTGAGCTCGAAAGGACAAATAGTCCCACGGTGAGTTAAAGGCTTGCAAACCTGAGCCTCTTCTGCGCTGCACTAACTCCACTCCTGAGAGTCCCTGGAGGTATTTTAAGCACAGGTCTACAAATGTTTTAAAATATGGGAACAGCCGTGAGTGGTTTCAAAATAAATAGTGAAAATTAGAAAGAACCCCTCCCAAAAAAAAACCCAAAAGCAGCAATGGTCTGCATCTGCTGGTGAGGAGCAGGATCCCTGCCCAGGCATGGGGGGTTTCACCACAGCTC